TATTTCTATGAGTTTTTGAAACTCCATCATATATATAAAGCCAAAAACCAAACTCAATACTATCGAGTCAATTCTGACTGGTACCGTCCCTATAGGACAGAGTAGAACTGTCCCAGTGAGTTTCCGAGGCTAAGTCTTTACAGGAGCAGAAAACCTCATCTTCCTTCCTAGGAGCAGCTGGTGGATTCAAACCACCGACCCTGTGTTTACCAGCTCAGTGTATAGCCCACTGAAGCACCATATATGTATACATATACATGCATGTGCATTTCTATAAAGGGCAAGGCTCCATAGGGTACTGTGCTGTCCCTCTGAGGAGACCCACTGTTGGGTGATTGACCAGGTCTGTGCTTTTCAAAGTGGGACATGAGCAGTGACTTGAGGTGGCAGGATAAGATGAGCCACATCTTGGCCAACTCTCCTTCAGACACATGCTTAGGCCCCCCTAGAACCAAATCAGTCTGGGTGGCCCACCAGGCTCAATCCTGAACAAATTGCTCAACCTCTGCACACGCCAGTCTTCCACTCTTTAAAACAGGAGCAGACGGTGCCAACAGAAGTTGTCTTCTTACGTGCTCTTCAAGTTCCCCAATGTTGAGTTCAAGAGTCTTCTTAGAATTGTCTAGGCCCCCAAAGACAGCCACTCCACCCCAAACCAAAACCAAAGACATGTTGGGGTCCTGACCCTGTAAATCTTTACAGGAGCAGAAAGCCTCATCTTTTTCCTGAGGAGCAGCTGGTGGGTTTGAACTATGGCCTTTTACAGTGAGCAGACCAGTGGGCACTCCACAGCACCCCAGCAGTGGCTCTAATTAAAACATAGAGGCTTCAGAGACTGCGGTCTGGACCCGGGCACCACTGATCGTCCAAGTTAAGCTGACTCCAAGCTTCCTGCCCGTGACAGGGGTTGGGGTGGGGATCTCATAGGCTGGATGTCAGACCTCACACGTGCCAAGCCTTTTTAACATAAACCCACCTGAGAGGATGGAGGTTGACTTAAAAATTTCGGTGAGGTAGCTGGTAGAATTTCCGACGATGTCCACCAGGAGGGCTGTGAAATCTGAACGCGAGACAGAGAAGGTTGACTTTTCTGACTCAGACGCTCAAGGGGCAACACACACACATAATTGTTGTGTTTGGAGTCCTCAGGATGGCAACTCCCTGCCATCGAATCAATCCTGACTCATGGCAACCCTATAGGACAGGGTAGAACTGCTCCCAGGGGTTTTCTAACCTGTAACTCTCTATGGGAGGAGAAAGCCTCATCTTTCTCCCAAGGAGCCACTGGTGGTTTTGAACTGCTGACCTTGTGGTGAACAGACCAACATATAATCCACTATGCCACCAAGGCTGCTTCTGTCGATGAAGAGCTATGTATCAGGGTTGAGACTATTCAAAAGAGAGTGATCCAGACTTGAGGTTTGTCCACAAAGTTTTGACTGATGGCACCTGTTGGCTTAAGTGAGCAGGCTTTCAGGGTGACAATTGAGGGGGAGCTCAATGCCTATCATTTGGTGACCGGTCCAACTTTGTGTTTTGTCATTGTAACGATGCTATATGGACAATTTTTCAGGTACCTCGTGGTGCTCAAATGCCTTCTCTCTAGTGTAAAAACCTAGAGACGAGCTTTCCAGGAGAAGGAAGGGGCATTTATCGGGTGTAATAGATATTTCCTTTTGGTGCTTTGAGGGGAAAACAAATCAAATCAAAACAAAAGACACTTGAACTTTCTCCATAAGAGCAGATGCAAACTCAAGCAAACAGCCTGCCTCTGGTGAGCTCCACCCACCTGACAAGTCATTGGTCCTGTTGCTCAAACAGTAGCAGTGTCTGGTGGGGAATGTGGCCGGGTCCACGTTCTTCAGGTGAGAAACTGTGAAGAGAAACGGTCTTCCCACGCGTCCCGACTCCCTGCTGAGCTCAGGCTCGCCTGTCACTAACCGCCGTGCCCTGCACCACCAGCCAGGGGCCACTTACTGTTATAAATGGCCACAGAGAACTTGTGGAAGGCGAAGGAGCTGTAGGAGGTGACGCTGAGCAAGGAGAAGAACGTGTTGCTACCTGCCGGGAGACATTGGCACCAGCACACCGATAAGTCCAAGCATACAGCCATAGTCGTGGGGACACTCGAAGACATGTCCAGGATGCCCGTGAAAATGCACCAGCAGAAGGGATACAGAACAAACCAAATGCATGATGATAAAGGAAAGTCAAACCAGCAAAACACGCACGTGTCACTTGGCGCTGATTCCTCTCCGCTCCCTAAATTCTGGCAGCTGGTAAGTATGATTCCAAGGCCGATTTCTATCTTGGGGCTGCTAGAAACCAGTTGGGGGCTGTCTTCTTGATTCGGACTCATAGTGACCCCCAGGCGGCGACTTTCTTCCCTGGGTGTCATCTTTACGGAAGCACCTGGACAGTCTTTCTCCCGCAACGTCAGTGGGTGGGTTGGAACCTCTAACCTTTTGGTTAGTGGCCAAGTGGTTACCTGTTGCAATGCCAGGGCTTCCCACCACACACCCGAACAAAAGATAAAAATCACAACCGAGTCGATTATGACTCATCAGAACTTGATAGGACAGGGTAGACCAGCCCCTGTGGGTTTCAGAGACTGTAACCGTTTGGGGGAGTAGAAAGCCCATTTTTCTATGGCTGGTGGTTTCAATCTACTGACGTCGGAGTTAGCAGTCAAACAGGTAACCACTATGCTAATGGGGCCCCTCCCAACACATACTAGGTGGCTGAAGACGACAGAATCATATTCTCTTCCAGCTCTGGGAGCTGGGAGTCCAGATCTGGCCACCCCCAGGAGGCCCTAGGGCAGCGGCTCTCAACCTTCCTAATGTTGGGACCCACAAGTGGAGAAGCGCTGCCCTGGGGGATAATCTGTTCTGTGTGTCTACCTGGCGCATAGCTACACCGCTGCTCCCTCTCCAGCTCACCTTCTCTGTGTGAGTCTCTCCTTGCCTCTCCTATAAGCACATTCAGCATGGTGCTTATGGCTCACCAGGCTAATCTCAGATTCTGTGGCAATTGGATGATTTTATATCAATGTGTGATTGTGGAGGGGTGTCCAACCTGACTAGCATCGCACTCTTGGACTTGAGTTGGGCTGGGCAGGAGGGCTGCTTGATACGGACTTACGTCTATATAGAAAGCTCTCTCCTGCACGTATGAATGTCTGTGATTTTGTTCCTCTAGACCAGCGGTTCTCAACCTGTGCATCATGACCCCTTTGGGGGTTGAACGACCCTTTCACAGGGGTCGCCAGATTCATAACAGTACCAAAAGTACAGTTATGAAGTAGCAACAAAAATAATTTTATGGTGGGGGGGTCACCACAACATGAGGAACTGTATGAAAGGGTCGTGGCTTTAGGAAGGTTGAGAACCGCTGCCCCAGGCTCATGGGTGTGGGTGTGTGGGGGGAGTATCATGACATTGGCATAGTCTACTCAGAGCCCAGAGCAGCTGGAGGGGCTGGGTCCTGCTCAGGTCCACAGACAAGCACAGAGTGAAGTGGGTCCCAGATGAAAATGGGGCCCGATGGGGCTGAGAGAGAGCCGTTACCTTTCAGAGCTCCGCTGAGCATCCTGTTGACCAGCCCCGCCAGGTTGAGGGCCGACAGATCCACCGAATGCGCAGGAATCTCTGAAAGATGGGTGGAGGTGAGGCCTCCCTCGGGCATCTCTTGGAGGCTGGTGCAGCTCCTTGTTTTCCAGACATGGACAGACAAGCTTTCCACTGGACCGAAGTCTACTGAGCCCACAGCCAGGGTCTGAGAGGCCAGGGGCAGCTCCTGACCTCAGGAACCCACAGCAGGGGCAAGAGGCAGTAGATGGGAGAGGATGGAACGAAGCACACCACAAGGGCTCTTGTTGGTCAGGAGGGAGCAGGGGCTGGTGGGAAATGACTCCCACTCCTTGGGAAAGCCGGGGAGATGGGGACGTCCTCAGTAGCTATGTGTTCTGGAATGAAACCCGGTCAGGAAACCAGCTGGGACTGAATCCACTCCAATTCAAGGTAGTCCCATGGGAGCCACACGGGAGCCCCTGGGTGCTCCACAGGGTTTGAAAGGCTGCTATTTTCGTGAGCCCATCACCAGACCTTCCAAGATGTCTCTGGGGGGACCCGAACTTCCGGCCTTTAGTTTAGGGGCCACATACATTAGCCATTTGCACCACTCAGGGACATCTACACTAGATAACCCCAAGCTGGGCCTCGGCATCACCTAGAACTGAGTTTCCCAAAGTGTGCAGCCCACTGACAGCCCTTGGAATGCTGCAAACCCGAACCCAGACCCATTGCCGCTCAGTCAAGTCTGACTTGCAGTGACCCTGCAGGGCAGGGCAGGACTGCCCTGTGGCTTCCGAGACGGTAACTCTTTATGGGAGTGGAAAGCTCCTCTGTCTCACTGGGAGTGGCTGGTGGCTTCAAACTGCTGACCTCGTGGTTAGCAGCCCCACTGGTAACCCATTCTGCCACCAGAGCTCCAAGAGGGATCCAGAGAGCTGCAAAAGCAGGTAGCTCCATGTTATGCTGGTGACGGGCTATGGGACAAGTGCTTAATTGTCAAGAGGCACGGAGTTGTTGTTGTTGTTTTCTGTCCCCTGAAAAGGGGCAGTATGCCAAATCAATGAGGGAACTTCTGCTCTAGAGTGTTTGGGGTTGTATTTTGATTTTCAATCCCAGAGGC